AGTTTTTGGTTGTGGATGCGGGCACAGTTCTTTGATGGCTCCATTTTGTAGGTGCATTGTTAGGCATCTTGACAGGGTTGTGGTAGTCAATGTGATGTAGGAGGCATTTGCAACTTCATTCTCTCTATTGTGATTTATGTGTGTGTGTGTATTCTTGAAAGTTCAGCGCATTTTCCTATGTTTTAAGTATTACAACTCAGTGTTATGAAAACAAAATGTATTTTGTGTGCATTTCTATTTTATATATTTCTCTGTTTTGGCTCACATGGCTGTTAGGCTTCTCCATGGACATTCTGATGATATTAAGCAAGTTGAAAATAGAAATGTATATTTCTAGTTCATTCTTGCAACTGGTATATTTCCATGTTTTACTTCTGTAGTCATACATTCATCTCTAGCATTATATTGTGTTATATCTTATCAGGAGATGGAGCTCTTGATAAAATGTGGAATTTCATCTCTCACTATTATGTAAAGAAACTGTGTATTTGGTACATTATGCTTGGACTAACCACTTGCATTAACATCATTACATCAGTAGGCAGTTAATATCCTCCACATACAGTGCCTATAATTCCTCTGGCTTACATTACCTTCATAGAAAATGCTTGTCTAGCTATCAACTTGATCGCTACCATCTTACTATACAGAGCACCTTTTTGTTTTCTTTATGTTATGCATCTCCTTGCCAAAGTCCAACACAGAAAGTTTAGATTGCTGGGCAAGTATTTTTTATGCTATTTTTTATCATCTAGATTTGAGATGTGATTATATGAATAATATTGTGACTTAAGTTGTTAGAACCTTTGGTTAATTTAATTTGCTGTTTAATCTCAAGATTTACATTAATATCTTAAAATCTCTAAAGATTTTCATTTCTCAGTTACTTTATACCACTTGTAATTTATTGTAACTTTGGTACATGTATTTACTTGGAATATTTTGTGGTTTTCTATAACTGTTGTGCCTTTGCCATCAATTTAGTTGGCTTATGCTTCTAGCAGCTTGAATTGACATTCATAGTCAATCTATTTTCTTCATATTATGCTCTATTAAAAGTTTTGCAGAATTTGTTTTGTTGTTTTTTCTTGACGCCCCAGATAGTTTGGCAGATTTTTTCTATACTGAAAATGAACTTCTAGAATAGTAGATTTCTATCAATTAGTACGTGTGGCATTTATTGTTTATTCATTTCCATCATGCTTATATGTACTAAGGTTCTTGCCCCTCCTACTTTACCAGTGGATGTTTGTTATTCATTTGGACAAACTATTTTCTGTGGCTGTTGTTATTAACTACAATAGTTTTTCTATTTTCAGCATTTTTTTAAATGCATTTTCAAACTACCCATCTTATAAAATGATAGACATCTGTAGGTACAACAATTTATAATTGAGAATTAAGTTACATTTTTAACCTCAAACTTTTGTCATGAAAATATATCATATACACAAATTAGTACAAAACCTGTTAGTAACTGAAAATACAATTAATATGATTTATGGGTTTCTCCTTACAAGTTTTCACAAGAGTACTAAAAACATTGAATCTACTTTCATGACATTTTCCAACAACATTTTATATAAAGTTAATAAAGTAAACCTTGTTTAGCAAAAAAAAAAAATTAAAACCTATTTTTGGACATAGTCCTACTTCAAGTGTCATTTAATTGAATACATCTTTAATTGTTAGAAAGAAAGTTATTTCTTAATACCCAAAATTTGCCCAAGAAAACTGGTGTTCATAGAAAAAATAAAGTATCAGAGCTTGCAAGATGGAGTGCTTATATTAGACATTTTTAAAAAATACAGTGTGTGTATATGTATACAAGTAAAATGATTAATCAGCAGAAAGGTTTGTTTACTAATTATTACATGCTTATTTATCATTAAGCTAAAAAAAAATTATCTTGTGTTTGTGATAACATTACCAGGAAACATTTGAGTAAGTAGATACGATTTGTTTTTCTTCAAGTTGTTTTTTTTAACATTATTACAATGCACTGTAGTATACCATTATCAAAAAACAGATTGTTTTTCATGCACTCTATCAAGAATTAGGTTGTATTTAGTTTTTTATTTGTTTCATATATGTTTTTGAGTATGATAAAAAAATTTAGGTCTATCTTTTAAAAGCACTTGGATTATATGGTTTCATATTTTTGTTATTTTTAGCAAATATGCTTATTTTTTTCCTTCTTAAAGCATGTTTACTTCCCATAAGTCCTATGGGTTAAATGCTGACATTCTTGTTTCTAGTATACAATTATCCAAATTAACTTTCAATTAAAATACACTAGCGAAATAGTAACTGTAGTTTATTTACACCATACCAAAGCTACTTCTTAATAATGTTTAAGTTTTTTATAGAATTCATTCATTAACATACATCAAACATTATAAATGTCAGTTATGCACTTTCAATATAAGCTGTCATAAAATCAAATTGATAGAATAATAATTTTCAAGTGAATTAAACTAAGTTGATAATATAAAGATTGTAAGGTGTCCATTTTTTCATTCACTTTGATTTGTAGGCATTATTGAACTTTTAAACTCTTAAACTACAGTGAAACTACTTTTTGAATTGTATAATTGCATATTTAATTATATATTTTTAATATGTCAATCCTATCCACAAAATAAATTTGCTCCAATTTTCCAAACTTTCCATAAACATGTTATTTCCAGGTATTTCCCGATCTGCACAATGCGGTGTACATTTTAAAAGTTTGTTAGAAATTTCACAGTTTACTCATCCATAAAGTATATCAATAATTATGCACACTTGCAAAGAAAGCATTTGGCTGTTTTCAAGATGCTTGAAATGAACAAGAGAAGACGTTCTGATCATAACATGCAAAGGCATGGGTAGGAGAGGCCTATTAAGATCTATATGTCAAGTTGTTACTCTGAACAAGGAGGCTCATTACTTAGCAATGGGATCAAGTGAGATCGAGATATGCTGCTAAACATGAGCTAAGTCATTAGTAGTATGTAGATCATCATATGTTTCAACTTAAACAATTGAATAGTGTTGTTAAGAGATCATCTCTTTGAGAAACTGTTACTCAAAAAAGGATACTGGCATAATTCATGTCAGTAAACTGAAAGATGTATCATTATAAAAAAAATTCTTTGTCTTGAGGAAACAAAAACATGAAATTTATACAAAAAATGCTGAGAAGCAACATACAATAAATTATCCAGCATAATAATGATAGAATAATTATCTTTTAATATATAGGATGGCCCAAAATTATTTTTTATGTTTTAAATTTTAATAATTAAATAACTAAAGAAATATAACCATGCACTCTTCAACATCTTGTAGCCCAACTCAAACAGTTTTTATTGTCATGTTTTTTTTTCACTCCAGAGAGTAGTGTTACCCCATAAAATGGCAACTGTGCAAGAAAAGGCTCAATGCAATGGATTGGTCAGAGTGGGCCAATTCTGTGGTCTCTGTGTTCACCAGACATTACTCCACTAGACTTCTTTGGGGGTATGTCAAGGACATCATGTATTGCACACCTATAGCAAACATCCTGGAGTTAAAGACCAGGATAGTGAATGCCATCACCACTGTAACTGTGGGTATTTTGCAGCAAACATGGACTGAAATTGAATATCGGTTAGACGTGCTCAGAGCCACTAATGGTGCATATGTAGAAGTCTACTGACATATCAATGAAAACTGTTTAAGCTACAATATATTGAAAACTGCATGGTTGTATTATTTTAGTTATTTAATTATTATATTTTAAAAGAGAAAAGATAATTTTGGACCACCTTCTATCTGAATATCAATATATAATGATCATCATGATGTCAACTTTTTCTCTGACATGGTTCAAAGTTAGCTTCAATCATAGTTACTTTCTGTGGATGTGTTCTTTAAAAACTTACCCATGTGAATAATGGATGAAAATTGCACTAATCAATAAAGGTAAAATTAAGTTTATGTTCTCTGGACATTTTTAGAAGAAAAGGCATTAAACTTTTTGGGTTATAGCCTTTTATTTAAGTTGAATTATTCAGCCATTGGAGAAAAAGTATACATCCATTTTTCTTCTAGCCTGGAAATACAAAATTTCTGGATTCAGTAACTTCTTGGTGACTTGTAAAATTCACTATTTGTTTATTAGCTATTGATGGAGTGAGATTGGATGCCCTTGTAAGTACAGTAATTTTTGTTATTTTAAATCCTACATATAGAGCTCATTTTTATATCTTATCACTGTTTTCTCTTTTAGTAGCTATGTCTCCTCCAAAACAACATGGAACTTGGGCTCAAGCTGCAGGCAAGGGTTTAAGTCCTACTGCTCCTGTTTCAACTCCTAGTAGCACAAGCAGTGGAAACAATGATCAAGTTTCAAACAATGGAAATGGTGTTACAAAAGTAAGAATAGAAGAACACATTTCTGATCTACGAATTGCTGCTGCTTACAGTGATGGTTGGGGACAGACTGTAAGTCAAGCTATTTTTTTATTCTATGATATTAGTTGTTATTGTAGATTAATTAGATAATACATTTCTTGCAGTTTTTAACTTTCTCTTATTTTCCTGAAAAACATTTAGAGCTCTGTCTTTTAATTATGAATGAAGAAAGTAGAAAAATGTGTGAAGCTAGAATCACTTTACATTTATCGTATACTTATTAATACAAGTATGTAGTGTCTCATTTGTGAATATGATGATTCTAAATTTTTACAGGCTTGTTTGTATCATGGAAAAGTAGTAAAATGTGTACGAGTTTTGCTTTACTCTTTGTATTCTTTCATTGCTTTTCCCACTTTTTGTTCAGGCCACTTTGGGTTTTAAAGCAGAAATATTAACCAATGTAATTAATTATGTTCTGGTAAGTGTTTGGTGCCTCTGTTAACTCTTCATATCTCGGATTGGCTGTTTTTGCATATGTTAGTGTGTTACATTCAGAATTTCATTAAACAACTTTGTTATCAAAGTATGTCAGTAAATTTGGCATGAAAGTGTAGTTTATAATTCAAATTTTTATATCATATAAATTTTCATGTCATAATTTCAAAAAGAAACATTTAAAAATTGATCAATTTTCATTTTTCTGTGTCACATGATGTGTCTGAGCTCCATTTCTCCACTTTAGAATTTTATAACTTCAAAAACAGGCTACTACAGTTTCTAACCAATTATAAACTTAAACTAAACATAATTATAAACAAGAATCTAGAATCCGCAACTCTTACCACCTTGATTAGCTGAAATATCGATAAGTTTATCAGACCTACTAGAGTAGCCCCTCCTATCACTCTCTTTCTGACATTCTAGATTGTTTTGCTAATCAACTTTGTATGACTGATGGACATGTTTATAATCAGTAGGGAGAACAGGTTCACCTATACATAAAGCTTCTTACAGTTATTTGATTTTGATTAACATACTAGTACATACAGTTGGCTGTAGTTTCTTTGTCTGATTACTGTTATTATCCTACTTCAAACAACTGATGGAATTATTTTAACCTATTCATTTTTAACTTATAAAATCAGTTAAGTTATAAGAAATTATTCTAGTGACTGCATAATATTTGTGCTCTGAAATGCATACTCGAAAGATGCATGAATTATTTTTTGGACACTTAAATTTGTGAGACTCATTGAAGCTTAGGGAAGAACTGCTTCAGTGCAAACGAGATGCGGTGAATACTACAAGTTTTTGTTTTATTTATGCATATTTTTTAATTATTGTTACACAACTTTTTTTACCAAAAGTAATTAAAATGTAGAAATTAGGAACTTCTCAGCTTAGCCTAACAAAACTTCAGTAAAATAAAACATTTAAAATTTCACAAGCTTGAGTGTAAGCATAGCATGGTACATTTCATGGTAGGTCTACCAGACACAGCTAATAGAGGATTACTGCCCAAGTAGGTTCAAAGTACAGCAATAAAACCATAAAATTAAAAGAAAACACATGTAAAATTACTAATAATTGAAACTTTAAAATAATTAACTTGGAATTTTCTGTTCAATGCTGAAGTAAGTGCAGAGGAAAATATGGTATTACTCAAATCTATACTATCCAACTTTTCATTTCACTGTATATTAATGATATCTTTACAGTTTGTTTTAGGGTAGAGAAAATATAAAGTTTTACAAAAAAAACTTGTTATTCATTTAGCAGGTTTTAAAGGCTGTGCAAATGAAATATGAAAACTGTAAGATGAAGGAAGTATTTTTTATTCTTAAAAATCTATTTTATCATGTACAACAGCTTTTAATGTGTACTAATAGCTTGACAAATTTCATAAATATGCACTCAGTAAAAATTAGTATTTGAAACTTTGCAGATTTGGGATTGGTCAATATGACCAAGACCGTAAACAGATGGTTACCTAATTAAGTCTGCATGATTACTGGGAGAATTACTATTCTTGCCATTGTTATTTCTCTACTTCTGATGAAGAATTTAATGAACTTAGTGTTGTCAACTTTGTAGTAAATACCTTCCCTCCTACAAGAAGCTACTGTATAATGCTCGCATGCTATACTTAGAAACATTTTAGGCTGGGACATTTTTAGATAGTATCTGTATATATCCCACTCAAATAACTAACTTATTTTAATGCAAATTTTTGTATTTTTACTGATCTTGCCTTGAAGGGAAATTCTTTATTTTTAGTTTTTCTCTAAATAGGTAGCTTACTCTGACTGGAAGTTAATATTAAAGTTACTTTCTTAATTATTACTTATAAATATTATAATGCATTGTTTCATCAGTTGGGTACCGTTGCTGTTAACAATATTTTCAGATGTAATCCCTGTGATATCTCTTGAGGTTTGGCCAGTTTAGATTAGTCCTAAATGTATGATAAACTGACAGTGCAACAAAACTGTTATAATAAAAGTATAGTATTAAAAATAAAATTGAAAATTAATAAAATTAGATTTATTAAACATTTTAACCAACACTGTTAATGAGAGTAATAAATAAAGAAATAGAGTATATCTACCTTACATATAGAACACATAAACACTAGCTGTTGGCTTCAAGTGCTGTTGTAGATTTAATATTCATTGAACAATGCAACATCAGTGTGTATATGCTGAACTTCACACAACCCTCCACAAAAACGTCAAGTGACTGAGGAAAACCCATTAAACAGCTCTGACAGTGTAACCTTAGAGATGTGTGCCACATGAAATAAATTCCCATGACACATTACCTTTGGTTGAGGAGTTAAATAGCAGAATATTACAAGGAGTACACCAAAAAATAATGTTTATGAAGACATAACATAATAAGATCATAGGGCTAGCTTATTTAGTGCTGGGATGTTTAAGAAATTCATAAGTGTTTGCCATATTGAGTCACTCATTGCAATGACACATAAAACTAATTTTTTTGACAACTAACCAAATTGTGGTTTGAGAAATTAAGGTTTTACATATATCAGTATAATGTGTTTAATTGTTAAATGTATGTTATTTTATACAGATATTTAATTAAAAAACTCAGTCATTTATCTTTAATTTAGAAAAAGAAAGATCTGTAAGCTTATGGAAAGAAACATCACATTATGTGCAAACCTTAGGCCTGATAATTTAAATGTATAATTACTGTTCTATGTGTAGAATTTCATGAGAATATACTTGTAGATTTAAAAATGAATTATTTAAAGAAAAATATTTTGTTCTAAAGACATTCAAAAGAACTACAAGTAAATTGGGTATTTACAAAACTCAGTCAGGTTGAACTGCATCTGTTTTACTATTTATTGAATACTATTTGTAAGATGGTTCTGTAAATAGATGTTAAACTGAACTTTGTTATACTGCTCATAATGGGAGTGTTGCAATGAGAAAGTCTTGGAAAATCTGTACCTGGTATGTATTTTCAGGACTTATCCTAAGCTTTAGACACAACCTCACATATAATAGAGGAGGTTGGAAATTATCATTTAGTCAAGAAAACAGAAATAAAACTGGTAGCACTTTCTACAGTTTATCATTGTCTTCAAGCAGTTAAACACTGGTCAAGCAACTGGCCAGATAGGTTTAATTTTACTGTAACCTGAAAAATAACTAACTGTAATATACAGGAATTTGATTAATGAGTTTCACTTGTGAATACTCTGAAACTTCTAGAGTACAGTAGAGTTTAGAGCATGGCAATTAATCAATATAATCAATTAACTTTGAGCATTAAATACCTCGATTAGAGTTTATGTAAAATAACTGATTAATTGAAATAATACAATTAACTCAATGTTTCAGAAGTACTCAACTAATCTAAGTTAGCATTATTCTGCTTATTATTATTATTTGTTTATTATTCCAACTATCCAAGTGATGGAAGTATTGCCATTATGATTTCTCAATATTATTTTTTATTAATTCAAGATTGTTCAGCTTAAACAATTAGTGTCACTATTTGCACAAACAATCAACTAATCAAAATTAGTGTTTCTGATTATTACTGTTTTCAATTATTCCAACTAACCTAATCTCGAGAGAATATCTATGGGGGTTTGAGTTTGTTTTATTTCACCATATAGTAACCTAAATTAATTTAGGTATGTATATAATGTTATGACGTTTCGTCATATTTCTTATTTAATATTATACAGTGGACCAGCTGTTTACTGATTGTGTTTATGTGTATATACGTGTGTGTGTGTGAAATTGAAAAGAGAATCTGTGATGCAGAGGCTTAATGCACTCTTTGATACCTTCTCATAAGAAAGGAGGACTTTGAAAGTTTGAGGCTTCAGTATGTAGTATGTGTATATTTCTATTGTATAATTGCCATTTACAGAGGTTTACAGAAAACAAAAAGAAACAGATACACGTATAAAATACTGAAAATTCAGTTTGCATGTTTAAACATTTTGTTTAAAATTTTCATAAAAGTCTCTGATTGGTTGGTAAAATATAGTTTTGTGATGCAATTATCATAAAAGTAAATATATAGTTGTAGTATTGTTTTTTTGTTAGTAGGTTCTTTTAAACTATTATGGGGAAAATAATTCAGCATTCCATCTATTTGCTGAGAACAAATTACTTTATTTCCTCCTTTAACATTTCTACAAGCTTGTTGTAGGCTTCTTTTACAAATGATGTTAAAACCTCTAACAATACTAGGAATAATGTGAAGTCAACTTACTTGCACAAAGTGACTTGAAAAGCATGATAGAAAACAGATCTAAATTCTTCATGAAAACACTGACTGATTCAACTCTATCTTGAAAGAACTCTACACACTTCACAACTATCTCATTATTACTTATGATCTAGTTCTGAAGGTATGAGAAAAACTTGATGTCAACTTTGAACTTTCTTGGAGTTCTAGACCTGCTTAACATCATGTACCCTCTAGCTAACATACAAATTACAACATTAAAAATATAGTTTACAACGATATTGTAATATATAAGTGCTTCAGATCTCCACAATAACTTTAAGATGATTTAATGTTGTAATGATACTCCAATCACCGCCCACTAAAGTAAGTTAATCCATTATTGGAGTAAACAAATTACATGTAAGTGTAAAAATCAAATCTGTATTTTAGGATTTTACTTGTATTTAGCCTAAAATAATGTTACATTACATGAATTTGTGTTATTATAGTTAGTTAAATACTATATAATAACATTGAGGTTAATATTAGATCACCCACTGATAATACTTTAGCTAGTTGTCATGTGGGTTTGTAAGTATATCTTTTAAGCTAGTAGTATTGGATGTAACATTAATATTGATATAAATATTACTGTAATTCTGTATAAACTGATCAAGCTTAACTTTTTATATAACTTCAAAAAAAAAGTTGCCTGAACAGAAGTGTCATTCTTCCTCACTTCATAGTTGAAAGTTTTTAGGAGAGAATGCATCATTAGTTGATTTCTGTACATATCTCTAAGATTTACCCTTTTAATATCGATATAGATATGGAGAGAGAGAGAGAGAAAAGGTGATTTTTTAAGTTTAGAGCCTTGACACTCAGCTTCATCTCTGCTTGTGTTCTTACCATGATGGTTGGCATAAACTTCTATATGAGTGATTTGCTTGTTTTAGTCTTCTTAAAGTGTGGTTTTTATTCAGAATAATGGTGGATGTCTTTTTCTTCAGGAGTCCTTTCTCTGGTGGCTCAAAAAGAAAGTTTGTAATGCAGGTTTAAATTCTCATAAGGTTTTATACAACTCTTATAATCTTTAAATATTTCTCATTTTGTTAGAATTGGGAATTCTATGTCCAGCTAATATTTTTGTTTAAATACATTTTAAATTTTGAATTACTGTAGTTTATTCCAAAATATTAATCTGTTTTTATTTTTTCCATTTTAAAATTTCATTTTAATTAAACCATCACATCTGTTGTCATTTGTTTCCTTTATTTTTGGTATTTTCAGATTCTTGTCTCTTTTTATTTTATTTTGGATAACTACATAACTTTTTGGACTTTTATGTTCCTTCATTAATGACTCTGATTTATTAATTATTTATACAGGCCATAATATTTCAGTGATTTAATCATAATCTTCCATTCTATTGGACACAGCTACTTTTTTTTTCTCCCTGTAAATGGAAGTTTTGTGTGAGAAATATTGTTTTCTCTTCCCATATTAATATCATTTCAGTGTCATTTCTTTTGCGTAGTTATCAGCTGTCTACATTACATTATTTTTATTTCAAATACTTCATGTATACTGTCAAGGTCATTGCTTGACTTGCATTGAATTAGGTATTTGCACAAATGGGCTGATATTAGTTTTTGTTTAGACTATGTCAGGGTTTTATGTATATGGGCTTGGATTCTTTACAATACGTGTCTGTGACGTGTTGGCAATAAATTCGAACAATAAACGGACAGCACACCAACCACTTTTTTTTTAAATAATATATTTTAAACAACTCAAACATATGTACAAAAATTCTTTACAATATAGGATATCACAGTTGTACCTAAAATTAAATAATTCTCTTTCTTGTTGAAACACCACACAGGCTGATTCAATTACTTTAGAATCCAATTGACAAGATGAATTACTTTTCTCTACTCTGTTCCTTACTGTACAATTTGTGATACATTCACTTATGTTACTCCATGGGTTACCACAGTTGTATCTCAAATATTATATAATTGTCTCCTTTTTGTTAAAGTCCACACAGGTGGGTTCAGTTACTTTAGGACACCCTCTGAGAACACAAATTATTTTCCTTATCTCTGTTAAGTTAAATTGTGAAACTCACTTTAACATATTACCCATTACAGCTAAACTAACAATCACGCAGTCTAACTTCACTTTCACTAACTTAACTTTTACTGACTTCCTTTTTTTACTTTACTTCTTTTGTTCGTTACCACAGTTGTATCCAGAACTTTAAATAATTGTATCTTTCTTTCGTCAGAAGTCCACACAGACTAGTTCAGTTAGTTTAGAATCCAATTGACAAGACAAATTATTTTTCCTATCTCTGTTGTTACAATACAGCTGTGAAACACACTATAGAAATCATCTGTTGAGGCTAACTTCATGTTTTATTTTCACTAACTAGCTTTTTACTGACTGAACTTTACTTACTGTACTTACTTGGTCACCTATATATATATATATATATATATACCTTCGCCAACTGAGGCCTAGAATTTTCTACAAACTAGGAGATGCTATGATGTAATAATACTCACTTAGCTAGAAAAACTTAGAGGTTTTGAGACATCAACAATACTACAGCATTTAAACTACACACATGACGTATGATTCTTACCAAGCTACATAACAAAATTTGTTATAACTATTACTATTAAAATAATTAACTTTCAACACTCTTGTTATGAAAACTAAATATTCATTAAATATTAAGTCACTAAATCAACTAAACAATAACTCTTACACAAAACAGTCTTGTATATCCAACAGACTAAGGAAACAAAAGTTTATCATTCCATCGTTTTATTAATGATCTGCACTTGTTCTGAACAGACTGTGAACCAAGACAGTTCTTGGGATCTTCCTCCTTCTCCACAACCAAGTTCCAAAGAAGGAAATAGTTCCATTTGGAGAGCTCCTATCAACAATGGGACAGAAATATGGGAAATCAATATTCGCAATCGCAACAAAGGAGTAGGAACACCAGCTTCTAGCAGTGGTCCAACACAGCCGTGGGGCCACACGCCATCAACTCATATTGGTGGGACATGGGGTGAAGAAGAAGATACCACCAACATGTGGACTGGACCAGGCTCAAGTGGATCTGTTCATGGTAATCCCTTTTCAGAATAAAACAAATTCTAATAAGTTTTTATAGTTACTTTTGCATTAGAAAAATATAAAAAAAATATTTATTTAGTATCTAATATTAATTAATCTTTTCCTGAAAACTTGAATAGAATTAAGAAAGGAAATACAAATAGCTTTTTTTATCATTTTTTTGGTTTACAGCAAATTATAAGCACTTTGAAGCTTCATAATTATTAAGACCTGATTGATTTTGTAATTTAGTTTTGCATTTGGTTTGTGCAGATACATATTTATTAAGGTCATTGCAAATGTTAAATTACACATTTGTCATCAAGTAGGATATTACCTAGATTCAAATAATAAAAGTGGTATTTAGATACACTTTTTTTTTCCCACATCATTTCTTATTTTTTTATGCTGTGTGTATTGACTTTCCATTGCACATATCAAACCTATTATGTTGTAAAATGGATTTACTAGTATTTATATTCTTTCCATGAAGCATTGTAACACTTTTATTTGTCATTTTGTGTGGGGGCATATAAATCAGGATTTACATGTAACAGTTGCCCATTTATTAGCCTATGGCAAAAAGAACTTCAAAAAATTTATATTTTGGCAAGTGAAAGCAAACATTCACTCCATGTTCCAAGTGAACATTAAATAAATATTGTTCACATTTTTTATCTTAATTGATTGTTTACAAGCCTAAAAATTCTGTTTTGAAAGTATTAACTGACAGAGCTCTGCTTTAGAGTGTTTACAATGTACATGTATATTGGGCTATTACAGACTGGTGGATGATTCCATCTACAGTGTCGATGTTGTAGCATTGTGTAATAGAGCACCACATTTAACAAGTGGTAGCCAGGTAAAACAAAATATCATGCTCTTTTTTTTTGCAAAATTAATTTATAAAATATATGTGTATGTGTGTGTGTGTGTGTCTATATATATATATATATATACATAGTACAACCATGGCAACACACATACGTTGATTTTTACATAGATTTATGCAGGGAAAAGATTATAAGACCAGTTTTGTATATGTATTTGTATGCCTGTACAGACCTCCTTCAGAGACTGACATTTTTTACAACATGCTAAAGGGTAAGAGTTATTTACAATTAGAGTGTTCCACTCTTTTAACAGCAATTGTTAATTTACAGATCCAGTAAAACATTATACAGAGTTAAGACACAAAAATATTGTAACGTATAAAGAAAATTTAATTATGATTAAAATCCATATATTAAACAAAGAATTCAACAAATATGGAATCTGTGATGTGTTATAAATGATAAGTATAAGTTTAAGCAGTAGTTATTGGGCAAACAAAGAAAAAGTTATGGTTACTTGTCCCATTGAATAAAAATTAATGTAGAACCTTTGAGTTCTCATATATTTTTTACCTCTAATAAAAACTGCAAAGTATTGAAAAGACTTCTGATTAGTGGCTCTTAAATCTATAATTTAATTGAATTTAAATATAGTTTCTTAATTTTCAATGTATTATTTCACTGGAAAAATATTTTGTTTCCCCTAATGATTTTACTGTGAGTACCAATCCAACACCAGCACTTTTGACAGTGACAGTATCTACACTATAAAATGGCTAGTGTCTGTTTGTCTGTCTGTGACAAACATATTACAACTTGCTGACTTTTGATCACAGTGAAACTTTTAGGAGTGTTTGGGAATACCTCAATCCCTTATTTCAATTTTTATTTTTACAAGTTTGACAGTCATTTCAATTTTCCTCTTTGCTACTGCCTTAGTACAAATGACACACAGACATACCATTCCACCATAATGTGAAGCCAATGAAATAAATGCAAAACCTTCGCTAGTTTAATTATATCATGTCTTCTTTGTCAAGTAATGTGAGATTTGCTTTGATGGTCAAGTACTGTACTTACTATACTATAATACAGTAGTATAATATAGTGTAAAAGTACAAGAATACAGTTCAACAGTCTGTGTAGAGCATTTTGAATATACTCATGTTCTCTAGATTGTAATAATTGTTTCTAAAAGGTCTTTTTTTACAACTACATTTCATTATAAAATTTACTAAAGAAGATTATAAAAAACATATTTAGAATATTTTATTGTAACATCAGGATGTATATCTTTTAGTATTGCCTGAAGCCAATCATTTTTGTTCTTAAGCAAAGTTTCTAAAGCCATACTTTATACACTATTTGCAAAGGTATACTGATTTATTTTGCTGTAATTTAACATTGTTTAATTTCCTTTAATAGATTAATAATCATGTTTGTGTTTCAAGTTGTAAATCACAGTTGTATTTTAATTTTATAATTTTGCAAGAAACTGCATGGTTTATTTTTATTTTATTGTCCTTCGGTAAAAGTTAACATTTGAATACACTGTATATCATATCAACTTGAAAATAAAGTGTGGAAGATTAACTTTTTAATAATGTTTTTCAGTTGGAGGAGGAGATGGTACACCAGAGAAAGGAAATAATGTATGGGGTAAATCAACAAACAAACCACCAGGATCTAGCACTAATAGCTGGTCATCAGAAATTATGCCAAAGAGGCATATCCTCTCATCAGGCTGGCAGGAACCATCCCCACCAACAAATCGCCGTCAGATAGGAATGACAAATTATGATGATGGTACATCAATATGGGGTAACCCTCAGCAGCAAGGGAAAGTGAGCTATTGGAAAGACATGCCAAACATGAAACCTATTAGTAGTGGAGGAGGTCCTGCCAATAACAAGTCTTCTAGTGGTGGGACCAGCTTAGCTGCTACAGGTTCTGGGATGATTCATCTGCCTTCACCAATTACCAGTGGAAATAAACCAGAAGTGAGCAACTCCATTTGGGGCAAACCGCCATTACCTAACCATGGCACTAGCTTGACAGAGATGCCTGCTCATGATTCCCTAGGGAATTCTGTATGGGAAGATACTATTAAATCTACTCACGTGAAGACCATCCCCACCACACCAGGAACACCATTTGGTGGGATGGGTGGCACCTGGGATCCTGGTAGTTACTGGAGTGCTAAGCCAAAGAGTGCTTCTAGCTCCAGTTGGACTGAAGGGCAGATAAATGCTTGTTCTTGGAGTGGCCCATCCAGACCAGTAAGTTAAATTTTTGTATTATGTTACATATGAAACCTGATTGACTGTATTGGTTAAAATCTAGAATATGTACATATTTATTTACCTGAAGACCTAGCTAAGCATTATCTGCATCCCTCATGTTACCTAAATAATCAACATGAGTAGATATGTAGCTGTGCTGCTTTATGAAATACAAATATTAATATAATTGTACATAGAAAAGTAAGTAGCATATTATCTGTCATATTAAGTATGCTTAAAACCCCTTAAAAACTTAATTTTTAATTAAGGTTCTTTTGAAAAACTATTTAAATTCATAAGGTTCTCTATAGACATTTGTCTTGTGTTGACTTGACATAACTAAATTCTTGCTTTCAGTAATGCTATATATACATGTTTTCCCTGTTGAATTGGTTATAATCCATGGATTACATGGGTTAAAATGCTAAAAAAGTGAATTTTTGAAACATTTTCTCTCACCTTAATATTCAAT